GGGATGAAGGTACAAATCCAACCTAAAAGAGATTGAACTTTCCATAATAATAGACCTCTACTTTATTCTTTTCGTATTCATTTGCGCTATCTGACTAACATACAATCATCAGATTAATCCTAAACCTGTTTTTCTATGTTGGTTGAATATTAATGCACAAACAAATCTTTTATTGGCGATCACTTGAATTATAATCATATTAACCTAAACAAGATTATTAATTATCTTATTAAGCGTGATTACAAGTACAAATTCCCTTTAAACATGCATAAAAGGTGTGATCAAGCAATAAAAATAATAATAAACATCAAGCAACATGATATTATAAATTATATGTAAATTATTCGTTAATTAACAAATTATGTTAAATTATATAATTCGACACAACAACAATTTTATGAAAGACTTAATTTGTCTGAAAGATATTGTTGATTGGGTATGCAATTTGCCAAGTGTTACCAAATTTCCAAAGGCTAGTAAATTTGATTGGTTATTTTTCAACAACCTTTTTCCAACCACCTCACCTTAGAATGAAGACAAAGCAAAGTAAGATATTTAGTATTTGTTTTTGTTATATTTGTTTATAGGAAATTCTTTTGCGATAGTTATCTTTATTTGTACAGCAGGGCAAGTGGTATGATACCATATCATAAAAACGTATACGAACATATAGAGCATATGAAGGTGATTTTTATACTACTGTAGAAATATTTTCTCTTAGTTTTGGAAAGTCGTAATTACTTAAAAATTCATTTGTTCATGGTTTATAGCGGTCTGCCGGAAGGGTCAATGTCGATGTTGAAAACATTGACAAGGAGTTGATCAAGTTATTTCCATTTGCTATTCCTGTTGCGTACTTCGAAATCATGGATAAGCTTGGTCCTGAAATTCCATATCTATTGGATTTATTTCGTAACGGTCCAAAGGGACTCGATTACAGTCAGTTAGATCAGGTAATTTTTACTATTGTTTGTTTTCTGTTCTCAATTTTAGATCTGATTTATGTAACTTGTTCAGGTATAATCTGTGCCTCTTATATTATATAATATGGATGATGAGGAAGTATTGCCCACTAGTCATTACCATGTATGGTCGTCTATAGACTCTATACCGCGGTGGGAACTTTTTGTCGATCACTTAAGTGTTGGAAAAACATCATTGACTGTTTTGATATTGTTATTTAGAGTACAACACTGCTATTAGAATATTAATATCGGTATATGTTACTCGTAATTCATTCTTGTTTTTGAGGTATCGTTTAGTTGTTTCAGTAGTACTCCGTATATAAGTTCTAAAGTACAAAGTTATTGTATTCCGATTAAATCAGCGAGCTTGTGTACTGGTTATAAGTAAACTTTGTTATTAAAAAAATCAATATTATTGTTATTAATTTAAGTATCGATGTATCGTTATGTTAAATTTGTAAGTAATCGAGCAATTTAGGATAATTCTAGGACATATACTGAGTACAAAACGTTATCATATATATACTCGATAATAACACTAATAACTTTGGCTCAATTCTTAATTATGTAGAAGATCAAATCTATAATAATATTAAAATCCAAGGGATTAACTTATCAATAACATGTGTCATACTTTGCCAACATAACATTTATGACATAGCGCCACATAGATGATGACAACACATTAGTATTTGGATTAGATTTGAACCATTACGTCACTTGAAATTCCCAACTTTTTATTACTACTATTCCGCAATTAATGTCACTCTATTACTTAATTAACAATGATATATGAATTGTAACTTTTCATTAAACATTATATGTAATTCCTCACTTAATTGTAAAACAAATATTACTGTAGCTCTCAAGGAATTGGTTAAACTTAAGGAATTGGTTTCAAAATATTATTTAAACTCAAGGTAATTTTTTCATTTTGTATTTAAACATAACCCGGGGCATCGATCAGGCCCCAAACTAGTTATTGAATTTAAAGCATAAGTTGATAGTATTAATTTGCGTTTCAATTGACATACAATCAAAGTTCAATTCACTCCAAACTAATGTTATTAAGTTGGTTGAATATTTAAATATTTAATGCACATATAATTCTAAATATTGTGATCACTTATTAAGTTTAAAATACTAAAAGGGAACACAAATCAATTGTCCAAATTATCTATATGCATGATTTTCAATTACATATTCTTGTTAAAACATGCAAAAGTGATCAAAATACATCAAACATACAACATATATATTGGTAGCAAAACAATAATATTATTAGGAATCAAGGCATCCAAATCATAATTGTAAACTTTTCATGTTACTAGCAAATTAAATAAAAGGATTTTTTTGACAAGTTTAGTAATACCACCAACAGTAGGTTTTTTTTTTTTTTTTTTTTAAATTTACCACCTACTTTATTTTTTCCCAAAACACTAAATTTTACCACCTATATTGTATATTGCAATAATTATAATTATAAAATATAAATTAAATTGCAATAATTATAATTATAAAAATAGAGATAGCTTTAAAACACACGGATATTTGACAGAATAAAGTTGTATCTCCTAATCAAAAGTAATTCCTAACTCCTCTAACTAAAACAGATAGGGAAGTATAGAGTCGAATACACAGGGAAACAAGTCATTCTATTCCTAATTAATTAATATAATCTAAATCATCAAGTAATCAAATTGTTGTTAAGGGAATTAAATTAAGGAGAATAAATAAACTAAAGCAAATTAAACTAGGGAGAAATCAATAAATCAAAACCTAGGATATAGGTTCACCAATAAATAATATTCAAGGGTAAAACACAAAAATTTATCAATGCATTAATTAATCAGATCATAAAGGGCTTTCGCTACGTATTACAATCACAGAATTAATCTACTGGCATTAAATCGCATCTCTCGAATCTTGACTTAACCATTAATAAATTAACCGGCCTATTGAAACTAAGCCTAAACATCAGTTCTCATCTCTCGAATCTCGTATTAATATTGCATATATAACTCATACAATTAAACTTGGCCAAATCTTATTGCTAAGCATTAAATCAATTGATAAGAAATTAATCAAAGCATTGACAATCAATAATAAATAATCACCCCTTCATATTATTTATGGATCCCCAAACCCTAGAAATAAAACTACTCACGCATGTTAAAATCTAAACTAAGCAAATCAAATAAGCAAGACATGATTAATCAAAGCAGTTACATTACTGAAAATAAAAAGGGAAGAAATTGTTACCAAAGTAATAATCGAAAATTATGAATTGCATAAACCAAAAGTATAGAGAGAGAACAAGAGTAATAATCCAAAGCTTAAAATTAAATTAAATCTGAGAAATTAACCAATGAAAAAACGTAATCGTATCTAGCTTAACAAAAACATGTTTATACTAAGCTAGAAAATCCTACGTTGAAAAAAAAACGACGTTAAACATCCCTTAGAAACACGCGCATGGTCGGGCAAGGCTTCACTGGCTGGGCGCACCTTTTTTCTAATGGGATCCTCGCTCGCGCCCGGTCGGGCACGCTTTAGGGCGAAGGGCAGCCATCCTCCTTCTACCTCGCTCGGCCGAGCGCGCCTCAGGGGGAGGGCCTTCTTGGTCGGGCAAAGGACTTCTCGATTGGGCTATATCTTGGCCCAATCCGGATTTCCTCCTTGAGTCTTTATAACTTGGTCCAATGCCTCGAACTCTTCTTCGTCGAGCCCTTAATCACCGGTTTGATTACTCCAACTCGGTCATGGGCTTCGAAATGTTGTCATACTTCTCCAATGCTCATAGTGGCTCCAATAAGTCTACGAAAAAACTCCAAATCTGCAATTTCCTATAAAACAATATCAAATCTACAAAAACAATAGAAAACGCACATTAGTAATAAAAGTGACTCCGTAGAGTCAAAAATACTCCTAAATATAACCAAGGGATGAGGGTAAATCACTATATAAATAGACATATTAATATTAAACCTTTTACACCTAAGTAAAAGAGTAGAACTTCAAGCATTGCAAAGAAATTTCAAATTGCTTGAAAGGGATGTGTCGAATTATGTTGTAATAATAGACTTGTAATGCTGTCATATTATTATGTTTAACCCTAAAAACAAGTCCATATTTATAGGCTAGGTACGGAAAAGATTAACTCTGAAGAAATATTTTTGCTGATGGAGAAAAATTAAATTTGCTCGGTTTTGGATTGCGGTCAAGAATTGAGAAATGAGGCAAAAGTTGTGGATTTTTTTGCTATGAAAGGGTTTAAATGAGTGTTTGGGCTAGCAATGAATTGCATTAGGTGGATTAAAATAAATATTGCAACATGGCCAATTGGCGGTAAAAAGGCCACTCATCACCAAGTTTGGGTCAAGGAGATTTGATTATGTGTCTACACTAGACCTATAGAAGTTGTCCAGCAAAGAATTGATAATAAGTTAGTGAATAATAATAAAATTGGAAAAGAAATTATTAATGATGTAAATAATGTCATCCAAAAACCTAGATATGAAGGAGATCGAAGGAATTTGCAAATGACCAACATACATACCATGTAGAACTACCCGATTTAGTGTCAAATCATATACTTAAAGAACAAGAGTCCAATTCCTCAGCAATATCATCTCATTTCGACCTAGTTTTCTATCCTTCAACAATTGGACTACATGAATCCACAACAAGCTTACAAAGATCAATTATTGATTCCTTGTTCTTTGAGGCCTGGTTTCCCTTAATTCTTCTTCCTCGCCATAGCAGGGGAAGCATGGAGAGATCGAAAGAGAAGATCTAGATAGAGAAAAAAAAATTAGATGGGATTATTTTATTTTCCGATCTTAAAGTTGGCTTATTTAAATCATTTTTTTCAAATGTCTTTTATTTTATTTAAAAGCAAGTGAAATTTAGCCTTTTGCGTTTTTTGTAATGATTATTTTAAATAAAATAAGCGAAAATAGGGTTTAAAAATTTTAGTTTTCTCTTCCTTTGAAAATTGGTCAAAGGTTCCTCCTACCAAGCTAGATTAACAGGGACCTTTTCCTTTATAAACCTAATGTTGGAAAATAAAAACACTATTTCCTTTCTTTTCCCTTTCCTCGATTCTCAATTCTCTTGTTTTTCCTTACCAATGAGGCAATGAGATTAACTCGGTGACCCTAGCAACTAAATAACTCGTGAGCAGCAAAGCTAGAGAAGTAGAAAATGGGTCAATCTCAAAGTCACACTTCCGCGCCCGCCATTGATGATACCTCAAAGGCCCCACCTTCTTCCATGGAATCTCTAATTGCAGGTCTATTTCCTTCCAATCTTCTTTTGGGGTTTCGTTCAACTTTGATATGATTAATTTGATTGCACTTTTTCTGCAAAATTACCCTCCTTAGTTTATTGATTTTCTGTTAAATGTAACGATTGATTAGAATCCAGAAATATCGATGGGAACATTCTGGGGAGTTTGATTGATAACAGTAATAATATTCTAGGAATTGGTCTTGACTGATAAAGTTTGATCCACTGTTAAATTTTAAAGATTGATCAGAATTGATATGTCATTTTTTTTTATTTTGCCTTATAGTTTTCGCCAGAATAATATAGTATTTGTGTATATGAAATTCATAATTAACTCCAATGAAGTGTTTGGAACTTTTGAGTAAATTATATGCAATTTAGAGGCTACTAATAACAACTTTTAGTTTAATGATATGCTGTTCTTCCATCTTCAAAAATTAGCAACAAGTGAAGGATGTTATGTTATGCTTATATAAGATGCTTTCTTGAAGGTTGTTAGTTTGGGTCATGAAATGAGCCGAAAAGACAGGGCATGGATGTATAATAGATGTGAATAGGCATGTTGGTTTTATTTGGGTTGTTATTTATCCAGTGATTGAAACTGTCTGCACTCTGTAGTGTCGTTGGATTCTTATCTTGATTTGTTTCTATAAGACATTGTTGTTGGGTGGTCATTCGGTTGAAACCTCGTACCAGTCGTAACCTTTTAACCTCTTCAAAGTGTTTAATTGTCGTTTGTCCGTAAATAGATGTATGAGATGGGACTATCTTTTTTTTCTGCTAGCATTGACTATAGCCTTCATTTTATGCGGATTTAGGCTAAGGTTGGCTATTTGGTAAGCTTGTTCCCAAAGCATTTGGTCATGTGTGGGTTGTCTACTTGTCTTTGTAGTGTAAGAGATTCCAAAGCACTTTGATGTAAGATATATTGTCTGAACTGTTTAGGGGTTTGAAAAGGGGAGGTCCAGTCTATAGCTGTTGGTTCAAGAACTCCGAATTTCTCTCTTGATAACAGCCATAGAGGACTTCTTTAGGCCTCATTCCCACATTTCAGTGTTGCTGTGTTGTCGCCCTTTTTGCTCTTAGCAAGGCTTGGTATGAATGTATGATGTGGCTTTATGTTATCGTGATCTAGAGTTAATTTTTGTATAGATTAATTGTATATGTATACAGTAAAAGCAGAAGTGAACCACAATCCACCTTAGCAAAGGAAGGCAATGGAGGTAATTGTTCTGTGTAAGTAGTTTCTAGGTTGAAAGATTACTTAGTCATTTAGGCTATATATCCATTGGCAGAGACATGTGCTTGACTTGGTTGGGTGTATGGTTAAGGCTAGTTGTGCTGAATGCATATCCCAATAATTGACAGGAGCTGGGCATTACAGTAGTATCTTAACATGTTTCAAGGCTATTCTTGTCTCTTATAATATGTCAAATTGATTATAATTGGAAATTTAATCTATGTTTGTGCATGTTATTTCTAATGGATGTATTATTAGTATTTTGAGCTTATATCATATCTTTTGGTGTTGCAGAGGCAGCAGCAAACGGTGATAGCGAGACTGAGGTAATTGAGCTCTTTTGAAGTATCTTTGTTATATCTTCAAGATCGTTTCTCCATGTATTTTATTGTTCTTTCCTAAATGAGCTGTATGTATTACTTACAGTCTATTGATTCAAAAGCTAGAAAGGCGTTGGAATGCCCATGTATAGCTGACTTGCAAAAAGGCCCATGTGGTAGTCAATTTTCGGAGGCCTTCCTCTGTTTTCTTATGAGCACTGCGGAAGAAAAGGTGAGTGCACATGGTAGGATAGTGGTTTGTTAGTTTCTCTATAGAATCTATTAACAGCTTTTTTCATAGTATTATCTTTGAAAGGCAATACAGTGATGTGTAATTTAGTTACAATTCATGCAATCTAACTCAATTCCAGTGAAAAAGTTTGATTAATATTTCAAGAATAACTGGTTAATGATCATTAATGTTTATGGGTGGAGGTTACACTATAGTGTAGATGGTGTGACTATTCATGTGAGGACTGGGAAGGAAATAATGTTTGTAAATTTGGTTAATAATCTGTAATGGAATTATCGATGCAATTGATTCTTTCGAGCAATTGAGGACATCTCCTTAGCTGGGTCATGATTGAGTCATGCCTTTTGTTTCTTTGTTTTCAGGGCTCAGATTGTGTGCATCCATTTGTGGCATTGCAAAGCTGTATAAAAACCAATCCAAATGCATTTCCAGAGGATATTGCGGGAGATCATCAAGTGAAGGAGACAGTTGAGTCGTCTTCTAATTACAGAATACATCCACCAAAATGGTCATTGGAATCCCAAAGTCCTCAACCTAGACTGTAGAGCTCAGAGCACATTATTCACCCCAAAATTTGCAAACAGCTGATAGCTGTCAAACTTGGGTTGTCTATCACTCTTATCAAATTTGCATGTTTCAAGAGTTAGAAGTAACAATCAAGAGTTGATATATTTTTGGAAATTGTGATATATGGTTGAATGCATTTACATTTTGCGTAATTTGTACCTCCTAGTCAAGCAAAGTTATACTACTTGGTAACTGCTTTCTCTGTTTGTGAATTGATTCTAGGCAGTGCAACAGAACCATAATTTTTTCCAATCCAAATTGCTCTCACCCCTTGCATTCCCCTCTCACACACAGATTCCAACTAAACAAAGCCTTTAATATGCTTTCTCTTAATCTCTTTCATGCAGGTAATCAGGTATAATGAGTATGCGATTATAAAGAATAAGACGTAGTAATGGATCCTCTAGGACTAGAGGCGGCAAACTGGCAATGGATCCTAGATCCAGATCCGTCTTATAGGACTTGGATCTCTTTGGACCTGGCGAATCCGCAATTTGAATCTAACTTGTGGACCAGATTTTTTTATATTTTTATTTTATAATGATATCGATTAAGATTAATTATTAATTAATTTGACTTTTCTTATATAAATATACCTTCACCTGTTTTGTTTTTTTTTTTGAAAGAATACCCTAAAGTATTTTTTGCCTGATTTCAACCCAAACCACCATTAAAGTAGCTCCAACCACCTCCCAGTTCCCACCCAAACCAAACTACCATTGAAGGAGCTTAAAACTACCTTCCCACCATTTCCATCATCATCTTCTTAAATTAAATTGCACCATTAAAGGAGCTCCAACCACCTCCCAGTTCCCACCGTTTTCAAGTTGCACCAATTATTAATCCCGTTAAAGGCGATAAGATTTTGGTGGTTATTTGTAAGATTGATCGTGATTGCACCCCTAAATATGTTTGTGTTTATGATATTCAACGCAATTCTTGGAAAGCAAGGGATGCTTTAGACAACAAGACTTACAATGCAAAAAATCATCCTTATTCCAAACTCGTAAACGACCTTGCTTTCTTTGGAGCTACTACGGGTTTTGTTTCTGTGTCAAGCTCTATTTATTGGCTCTATTCGACGCAAGAGTCTACTTTCGGCGTTTGCTCTTATGATTGGGATACTAAGGAGCTTCGTAAAGGCGGCATTGTAGGTCTTACACATGAACCTCCTTTCCTCATTGATGATGGGGACGTTAAGGTGTTAATGCATCTTCATGATGATCTTTTTTGTATCGTTTGGAGCTGTTACTCCCCTCTCTCTATGTCATCCCCTGTTACACAATATGATTTTCATTTCTCGGTCGTACGTATGTGTAACAACCTTCATGGTCCTTCTTCTCTCACGGCCATGTTGATGGGCTGTTTCAATTGTGTTATTCCTGATTTACAAGAACTACAACTTCATTGCGACCCTTGACAATGCTTTCTTATTGTAAGTCTATCCTAACTTCCTGAGTAGTATCAAATTCTATGTCTTGTAAATTAATTTCATCTCTTTTTATGTTTTTAGTAGCAATTACTTTTTGGATAACTTGCTTTGTTACAGATCTGAAACAAACTTTGAACATACTAGATTAGCAGAAGATGCGATACAAAAGCTCAAGTTAAACCCATGATAGGTATTTTTTTGGAACACAAACACATTTGAACACAAAATCGTTGCTTTCATATGGTAATGTTTGAATGAATAACCAAATTCTTTTGTACTTGTTGATTTTATCTGGCAGATTTCAATTGCTTTATGATTATTTGTGTGTATGTGTGTGTGTCTGTCTTTAATTTTTTCCCTTTAAGCTTCTAACCATAGTGTGATTGCTAGAATAGTTATCGTTGAGGAAAATTGTACATTGATGAGTTTATACACTCCATTAGTAATACACATACATGGACTTGTTCTTTCTAGAAGTAATTCAGTTTTCACCTTGGTTTTTCCTCTTATCTTCTTGTAAGCTGGTTGGTTCTTTTGAAGATCCTATTGTCTCTCACCAAATTAGGTTATTTTTTAATGCAAAATATCCCATCATTAATGGTCTATACTTGCATTTAGTTTGGTTGAGACCCAATCAAGCAAATAATAAAACTTGTACTGGAGTTTATCTTATTGGCTGGACTTGTTACCTTGTGCTCAACGTTAGTTGTAAGTTGTTGTGACTTGAGTCAAGTGTCAAGTTTCCAATCCTAACAAGTTGTCCAGAACTGAGCTAAGCTTAACCAAGAAAGATCTCGGTCATATTAACTATCAAGTAGGCTTGTAAAAGATATTAACATTTACTTTTTCATTTGGTTGTTTTCAGTGTCATAGCCTCCTTTACTGGAAGTTGTGCTTTATTACTCTCATCGGTCATCACTACTAGCAAAGACTAATATTTGATTATTTCTTTATAAATACAGTGTTATGCCAAGAATCAGTGATGCTGGACACACAGGTGAACCCAGCAAAGGTGCTGAAGAGGAGAGGTTCAGTGAGGTGAAGGCTTTTTCGTAGGGCTGTAGTATTTAACAAATGGTCTCAAGCCATTGGCTGGTTGCGTATCGTAACCATGTGGTGTATGAAATCACACACTAGAATTTATTCTTAACTTAGTAACTCTAGAATGTGAGAATATGTGGATGATGCTCAACTTGGTAACATATTATGTTGCAAATTTATTGAGGTTCATCTAGTTCAATTCTTCAACCATTTATTATAATGTTGATATTAACTCCCATTTCACCGAGATTAGTTTTTAACTTTTCAAATATGAAATCAATCACATAAAATAAGAAACCAAGAATATTAAAAAAATCTAATGTTATCAATGTTATTGTTTATTGTACTCCCACTACTCCGTACTAGAGGTGCCAATCGGGTAAACGGGTTGGGTTTGAATTGGGTTAGAGGTGTCAATTCAGCTAAAAAGAGTTATTAGTACTGCTGCTGTCTTTTGTGAGTATCACATACAACAGGTCAGACATGCCACTATAATGCTTAGAGAACCAATCTTAATTATAACGACATAGAAGAAGTTTATATGCCTGTATACATGCAAACAATCTTAATTTCAAATCAAGAATCAAGACTAGAACTAAAGAGAACCAAAACTGACATTACATTTTCAAGAGTGCTTAGAGGCTTCCGCATGAAAACAGTTTCCAGAGACAGAGGAGCCTTCGCCTCTTTGAGTAACAAGCATTGTGGTCCATTTCGAGCTTTTGTGCCAAAGGTCGTAATAATTTTGTTTTTACAAACAAGTATAGAGACTGTTTGATTGACATGACAATCATTTGAAGCTGTAATGAGAGGGAACTAGAAGACCAAAGGTTGTTTGGTTGACCAACACGTTGAGAGTATAATTTCCTGAGAAGTCCGAAATGGAAGAAATAGCTTCCTGATCTCCACAAGTGTGACTCCATTTAGGAAGTTCTACTTCTTTTAATCAACCAGTTTACTTTGGACACTTCAATTAAGTTTTGATTTCCTTAGCGAGTTGCAACTTCCAAAAGTGAGCTGAACAAGCACTAGCTATACTTCTCGGCGTTAAACTTGACTTGAGGATCACGGATATCATCCTGGCTCTGAATCAATCGAATCTCTAGACTGCTTGTCTTGGGATCAAATCCTGCAAGACTGTAGTCGCTCATAGTCTTATGCAGAAGTGCCTGAAGTGATTGATGCTTTGTAAGAAGAATTACAATGCATAACAGACATGACAGTAACCGTATTTATGTAAAGCAGATTGGGCCTTTTCATGATTCTAAATGCATCCAGACATAACAGACATGAGATTAGGCCAAAACTAACCGCCTACAAAATATGAAAATATTACATAGCATATGAATGAAAGACCCATAGAAAAAAAACAGTAAACAACATAAGAAGTCTTGTTAAATACAAAGGAACAGATCAACTGCCTAGTACAGGGAATAAAAAGCCAATAACATATATCACGAGTCATGATGAATTGATGATTGCCAAAATTAGCATCAACTATCCTTAAACTGGGTAATTGTCAGATATATATATACTCCATATTATACAGTGGCCATATCATCACATGACTCAAGCACAAGCAAGAAAATAAGTGGAAAGGTACCTGCAAGCTTGAAACAGCAAGCTCTGCTGCCCTAGCAAGATTATCAGGATACTTCTGTAAAATACAAACACGCCAAGATTAGCTAACAGATGAAATAGAAACCAAATCAAGTAAAATCAGGCAAATTAAGGAATGAACAATTACATTGCTCCACCCAAGTAATAGTGCAGTCATTAGGTCTCCGGTTCCCTACACAACAAGTGAACAGTCTTATGTAGCAGCGTAAATGAATTTAGAACTTTAATCATTTCTATGCAGCCCAGCTAGCCAAACACTAAAAGTGATATCGCATGAGAATAATGCCATATATTGATTGGAATGCAAGTGCCAGATATAGCAAAGCAATAAATTGTGACTTTGAGCAATATGCACTTTGGATGAGCAACTGTAGGTTTCACTCAAGTACCTCATAAAGACAAATAAAATGAAAAACTACGTACCGTAAAATATGCTGGGATTTTCGGAATCATAATTTTGAATTGCTCAGGTGCCTCGTCCTATATATGATGGAAGCAAAATACTGTCAGGGACTAGAGGTTTACACAGGCAGAATGGGATAATTGGTTTATACAACACAGTTACAGCTGCTGTCATCATATACTACTTCGTATATAAACGTAACACACTCTAAATTAATCTAAAAGATGAGGACTATAATTATAGCTCAGATTATCATAGATAGGGTTATATGACCCATCTAAATAGCAAAAATTTAGATGTTTCAGACACGAGTATGTGTCAAAGTGTTATGGCACAACCATTTTATGAACAATTTGCCTAATCTTAGCCCAATGTCCAAGTGTCAAGCATCCCACACGGGTACTCAAGGTGAAAAGAAGAGTTGGAGTAACATAGGACAATTAATTTATAAGTTACAAAGAAAAAAGAAAGCAAAAGCATAGACATGTGACGAGTCTAATCGAAGAAATAAGACTTCACAGAAATCATTCACATTATAGTATCTCATTTTGCTGAATGGATTCAAAAGCCATGTTCCTCAAATTAAATCAGTGGGATGAACATATTGAAAGAATACAAAATTCATGACTTGTCCTCCAATCAAGTCATTTTAGCATTATAACTGCATGATGCACTGGAGTAGACACTCATGTCAGTTTAAACAAAAGCTAAACAAT